CTCGGGAAGAAGGGACTTCATCTACTTAGAGACCTCGGGAAGAAGGGACTTCATCTACTTAGAGACCTCGGGAAGAAGGGACTTCATCTACTTAGGGACCTCGGGAAAAGGAACTTCATCTACTTAGAGACCTGGGGAAGAAGGGACTTTATCTACTTAGGGACCTTGGGGAGAAGGGACTTCATCTACCCTTCCTTTCCCCATCTCTGGTGCATGAAGGAGACCAGCGCTCAGGTTTAGTGACCAGACTTGGCTGGAACATAGTCCTCTGAGCCCAAGCCCCTGGTCTTTGGCATAGGGGGGATGAGGAGGCTCTGGGGTCCTGATTCAGGGAGAAAGGTAGGGGCCTGTGATGAGTTTCCAGTTAGGAGTGTGATAAAGCTTCTTCTCCGAGGCCCAGGGAAAACCCCCCTGGGGCCCAGAGAGAAGCATTTCCCCAAGTTACAGGCAACTCTAAAGGGGAACTCTGCTGACGCTACAGGGCTCTCCCCAACCTCGTATGAGGGAATTTTAGGAGCCCAGGCAAGGGGAAGAGGGAGAAGCACTGACAGAATCTGCCTCTTCTATACCTCCCAGGGTGGGAGCAAGGCTCCAGGACCCGCACTGGTGCAGTTAGATGGGGACTTGGTAATCTGCATCCATGAGGCCTGCCCCCACCAGTCGCCAGCCCTGGCGCTAGATGTGGTGAGGCCCCTCCTATGTGTGTGTGTTGGGGGGGGTGGGGGTGGGATGGGGTCTGGGCCCCTGGGCTGGGGGAGCAAGAATTGTTGACAGTTGAAATCCTGACGCTGAGCAGAGAAGTTGAAGTGGGTGGGGACAATGTCCACCTGCCTCCAACTGCTTGGGATTTCACAGCCCAAACCACCAGTCTCCCATCCCTGAGTCACTCCTCTGTGCCCTTTGTAGGACACTGCCAGCTCCCTTGCAGATCCATATGTCCAGACTATCATACAGGGCTACAGCTAGAACTGTGGCAGACCCCACACTGCAGGAACTTACAAACTCAGAATTCCTCTCAGTGGGGTGTTGATGTGTCTGACTGTGCATTGGCTCATGTGTGTGCAGTCCCACTGTATGAGATGGAGCACAGAGCTCATGTGTGCTAGGGGACAAGCGATATAGGGAAGAGAAACCCCAAGGACTCCAAAGATACCTGGAGTCTCATCATCCTCTCATGCCTCAGTGTCCCCATCTATAAAGTAGGAGCGCACAATAGACCAGCTGACACTCAATCTGGCTCCAAGGCTCCGAGGCTATGCTACTGCCTGGGCCATGGTAGCTGAGGCCTAGTCCCTGCCTACCACACCAGTCTGGAGGCTGATGCAGCAAAGCCCACAACAGAGCCGAGGAGTCTGGGCCACAGATCCCAGAGGCTGATATGAGCTCTTATCCCTGGCATCAGCCTGGCAAATGACTTAATGGCTGATTCCAGGGGCAAATTATACAGATTGTAGAAGGATAGTCAGGTCCAGTCTTGCTGACCGGTGGGACCTGCGTCACCTGCTATGCTGGGAGGCACAGCCTTCCAGTTCTGTGAGAAGGAGGAGGAAAAAACCCTGGCCAGTTGGTCTCACTGACTCAGGAGTGAAATCAGCTCAGCCATAAAGAGGGCCCCAGACCCCAACTCTCATTCTGGGCTGGGCCTCTTCCCCTCCTCTGGGGAACGACATGTACCTTGCTGGGAAGTTCCATGCAAAGGTGGGAGAACATTGCTAAAGGTTTGCTCTAATGGCACAGTCCCTGGGGCCCTTCCTAGAACTCTGACCAGGACCAGTGATTTCTGCCTGAAGTGACTGTGTGTATGTCAGCCCCTCAATGCCATTTGCTTTGAGGCTGTCCTTTTTTCAGCTCTGGAACGTGGGCTCAAGGAGCCCTGGCTTAACCATAAAGGAGGGGCTTCCCTTTGCCTTCTTCCCCTATTCCTAAACTGGGGAACCCCCCACCCCTGATAATCGGGTGAAAGCCCTGGGCTAGGGTAAGAAGAGAGAGAAAGATTCACAGACCCACGTCCCTCCCCCACTTTTGCTCTGACTAAAGATCCCCCAACCTTTTGTGTGCTCGATGGGTGAGTCATCATGTAGGATGTCTGCTTCCCCCTTGCCACCCCCTCAAAGACCCCAGAGCTGATCCTTGGGAGCCATGACAGACAGGAGACAGGGCTTTGGGCATGGGGGTGGTGGGCAGTATGTGTGTTGGGGGTCTCTTAAACTGCATGCCCCCCAGGCTACAGGCTATAGAGGAGGGCCCCAGTCCTCACCACTAGATGGTGAAGGGGTGACTTACTCAGAGCTTTCTGTTTGTTTTTTTTCTTTTCCTGGCCCTGTTGTTACAGAGCAGACACTATTAAGTAAGTTTGGGGCTCAGCATTTTTTTTTAATTAAAAACTTGTGAGACCTAACTGGAACAAATGATGATTCTGTGTGTTTTTCTTTCAGTAACAACCACCTATTTTGACAGCTGCTTAAGCGTCACTTGCCTCCTGCCTTTGGGATTCCCAGTCTGTCCCTGCCGCATGCAAAGTGGTTTCCCTTCCACAAACGCTGCAGCACAGCACTAGGCTGATGTTGTGCTGGTTTTCCTTCCTCCTTCTTCCAACTCCCCCAATCAGATGCCCCAGGGAGGGAGGGTAGTGAAGTGAGTGGTTTGACTACAAAGCTTGGGCCAGAGCAGGTAAGAAGGGTGAGAGCCACCCCCAGCCCTGCCTGGGAGTGAGTCAGTGATGACGTCAGGTTTCCTGTGCCAGTCTCTGATGAAGACGCCAATGTCACAGCCACCCCCACAGGCTCCTGCCAGGCAGGACCCAAACCCCACACACCATGCTTCAGCGACAGCGTGTCTGGAATGATGGCCCTGTCTAGCGCAGCACAGGGTGTGGGAGGAGGCTCACCTGGGCATCCAGCACTAGCAAGACCTTCTCTTGGAGAAACTGAAGTAGAAAATCCTGCTCACATGTGGATCCGAAAGGACTGGTGTCTGTTCCCACATTCATGTCATTTGAGTGTGTCATGAGTGTGTCACATGCATATGTGTGAGCAAAGCTCTGCTGGGAAGCTCTCCAGACACAACAGGGCCTCCTAGGGAACCTATCCCTCATACTAAATGTGTGGGTGACCCTCAAGATGTCCTACCTGGCCCTGCAACTCACCCAAGTCACCCTGAGCTTCAGGTCCCCTGGTATATACCCCCCCCAGTGGGGTGCTGGGCAGGGCTCAGACATCTCAAGGCAGCATCCAGACATGGCTCTGCAGGACTGTGAATCACGTGCCGAAGGCCTCTGCCTTTCCAGTCCCTTTCAGTCAGTGCTCTGAACCTCTCCAGAAGCCATCAGTCTCCATCTGGGGTTAGTGCGACTTTAAAGCCCCTCTGACATTTGCTTTTCCTTATTTCAACAAAGAGGCTCAGCCGCCTTCCCCAAGCATCCATGTGAGAATTGCTCATTCCTTTCTGCATTCATTCATTCCCTCAGCTCTTCATTCAAAAAATGTCTTTCCAGTTCCTATTGTGAGCCAGGTGCTGTCCTGTGTGCTGGGAATACAGTAATCACTCCCAAACCACTGCCCTCGGGGAGCTGACCTCATTGTTTCCAGCATATTTACTTTTGTGATTGTATTGTATTCATGGCAAGTGCTACTAATTATCCACCTTGAGTAATGATATCTTTTCCTTTTAAAAATAAATTTTAGGTTTGTAAATTTTACAATTTTACAAACCTAAAATTGACTTAAGGAAGACTACTGGTTTCAGATGGTACCCAAACATCTTAAAAACTGTGTTGCAGGTAGGAGATGCCGGAGTTGGAACACATTATCCAGGAGAGGTGCCTATATTCTCTTCAGGCTGGGCATGGTGCAGCACTGTGGGTCTGGTTTTCCCTCCTGCTGTGGTCACCTACAAAGAGAGGAACATGAGGCTGGGCTCAGGGGCTCACACTATAATCCCAGCACCTTGGGAGGCCAAGATAGGAGGATCACTTGAGCTCAGGAGTTTGGGACCAGCCTGGGAAACATAGCAAGATCTCATCTCTACAAAAAGTAAAATTAACTGGGCGTGGTGGCCCATGCCTATAGTCCCAGCTAACTCAGGAGGCTGAGGATCATTTGAGTAATTGAGTCTGAGAGTTTGAGAAGGCAGTGAGCTGTGATCATGCCACTGCACTCTAGCCTTGGCACAGAGTGAGACCCTGTCTCAAAAAGAAAAAAAAAGAGCATGAGGCACCCATCAGGAAGGAGACCCCAGGCCAGAGGAAAGGATCTGGGGAACCAACCCCTTGCCAAGGCCAGAGCCCACTATGCTGACCTGGGTCCCTTCCGGTCCCAACAGCAAGTCCACCAAAGGGTTCTGGGTTTGGTT